ACTAGACTTTATACATTTGAAGAATGTTTCAGATCGTGAGAACTCGAAGAAATTAAACCAGCACCAACTCATACAAGATCGAACGCTTTTTCATCTTTGCGCTAAGAACTACAATAAAATTCAAATCATCCCAGACAAAGTGGTGTTCAATTTCTAGAACAGGTTAATCACCAACACAGAAAAAGACATCCTTTCCCAAGGGTTTATATTTTGGCTTTTCAACTACTAAGTTAAACCACTGTAATTTTCTCGCACCCTTCGAAAAATTCTTCGCCGCAACTCATAATGAAAGCATCTATGAACACTCTGGTTTTCACTATGAATCCGTAAAACCCGAATGAAAGACATAGCACTATCTGGTCTTCGCAGCTACAGCCGTCGTAGTTTTTTATTTTCAAGAGACGAAATCAACCTTCTAAACGACCTTACGAATGACGATAGCATTGTTGTCATGAAACGTGATAAGGGCAATGCCGTTGTCATCCTTGATAAAACCGACAACAATAACAAAATAATAATATTAATAAAATAATATTTAATGTACTGAAGATGGCATCATGAGATGTCGAAACATGTCTATTTTAAAAATAATCGTTGTGTGTATTAAATGCGCATTAGCTATAGTGCTTCTACGAAATTATGGAATAATAAATATTCTATCAGTTGCTTGAAGATCGACCTACGGCGAGAAACTCGGGGTAGCGACACCAAAAACTTGTCGATTTTATTTCATTTTATCTTACGCTCTTCTAATACATAGGATATCGAGCGCTATTTTATTCAGGAATATTCTCCCATTAATTCATATATATATGAAAAATCTGATACCTTTCTTCGTAATATACGCTTGAAAGCTTACTTCTTACTTAATCCGAATACTACCACCGTTATAAATATACCCATGGCTTCAAGAGCACTAAAAACGCTAAACCGATTGACGACCTAAAAGATATCGGGAAAGACATGACGAAAATGATACAATGAAATAAAATTTAAAGACGTGAACAGCACATTCCTCAACAAAATGAAAGATAACACCACTACCATGAAACACGAAACGAAGCTACTAATCGCTGCCGACAAAACAACGAATTTCCACAAGCTAGGCAAGCCAGCATATTGCGACCTCCTTAAACAAAACATCACAAAATCATACAAGAACTCAAATGCCGACACAATAAAAGCCATCCACACGGAAGACAAAAATATCACATACAACTGGGTACATCTGACAGAGTAGAAGCCAGCGCTCACAAAAATGCACTTATAACATTTAAAGAGCATAAACCAAACTTTACGAATAAACCAACCTGCCGACTTATCAACCCAACAAAATCCGAAATTGGTAAAATTAGCAAGAAAATACTGGACAGAATCAACAGCAACATCATAAAAACAACTTCTTTCAACCAATGGAAAAATTCATCATCTGTTATCCAGTGGTTGAAATCCATCAAACACACAAAAAACGTCACCTTCATATCCTTTGACATCGTAGACTTCTATCCATTCATTAACTAAGACCTACTAAACAAAGCACTGGATTTCGCTTCAACCTACGACAACATCACAAACGCCAAAAGCAAACATCATTATACACGCTAAGAATTCATTTCTCATACACAACCAACAACTCTGGCAAAACCAACAACTCTACATTCGACGTCGCAATGGGCAGCTTCAACGGTGCTGAGACATACGAACTTGAAGGAAGCCACTTCCTGTCTCAACTACAACACATCACAACAGACATATGACTTTATCCAGACGACGGACTGGCCATTTCAAACACCACATCAATAGAAACAGAGAACATCAAAAAGGAGATATGCCGCATCTTCAACAACAGTGGACTACGCATAACTATCGAAGTAAACAACTAAGCTTTGATGCAAGTTAATGTATTATTGACGGTCATCCTTGACCATGCCATTGAACAGTTGAGGTATTATTGACAGTACATCCTTAACCATGCCATTGAACAGTTGAGGTATTATTGACAGTACATCCTTAACCATGCCATTGAACAGTTGAGGTATTATTGACAGTACATCCTTAACCATGCCATTGAACAGTTGAGGTATTATTGACAGTACATCCTTAACCATGCCATCGAACAGTTAATGTATTATTGACGGTACATCCTTAACCATGCCATTAAACAGTTAATGTATTATTGACAGTACATCCTTAACCATGCCATTAAACAGTTAATAGATTATTGACAGTACATCCTTAGCCCTGCCATTGAACAGCTAATGTATTATTGACGGTACATCCTTAACCATGCCCTAGAATGTTAATTGGGAGTGGGGTGGTGATATTCAGACATTCGGTTGCTCCTGCCTGATTTCTTATTAAAGTGTGTTTTTTAATGTAAATCCTTAAGAGATGTATAATATATAAATGTAGCTTATAGTTTTTTTGTTTGTGCTTGTAAAATTTATGCGTAATTTATTATTGTTTAATTCTATTTGTAATTTTGTATAAAATTATATTTACCTTTTGTGTCTGCACATGCGCAGATATACGTATTGTATGACGTCTATTACTGTAAATGCTAAAGCTTTAGCATCGCGGCGCTTATTTAATTTTAAGATTTTGAATGCGTCGCGTATGCGAAAGCGGTACTTTAGTGGTACTTATTTAATATTTTATTGCGCCAAGAAAATAGCGAGTTGACAAAATACAAAATCTATTTTCATGATAAAATATTATGTAACTTGATGAAAATAATGTTACATACGCGCAGAACAAGGATGTCCTGAACTGTAAAGGTTAATAACTTATATTTCTTCCGAGCGCCGCTCTAAAGTTACTCAGATGCGGTGAGTGACCGGAAATGGCGCTAAATAACTTTTCTGGATTCTGAGGGCGGCGCTTGAACTTCTCCGTGCGTGAGTCACGCGTGACATTGCTATCGCCTTTCCCGCTAGTTCGCTGACTTGATTATTGGCTCAATAGCGAGGATCTTTCCAGCACGTCTAAAAAGAATCGATAACAGCAGCCATCCATCCACATCAATTCACTTTACCGAGGGTACCGTCGTTGACAGTTTAGTAATTTAAGTACCATATTCGTGTTTTTTTAAAAGACATATTTCTCAAATGCCTAAGTTTTATAGTTAGATGATTTGTCAAACTCCAGTGCCATTTCTTTGACAGCATTACAAGCGGAACGGAGGCAAAATTAATAGACAAACTCTAATAGCATTTATTAACGAACTTCAATGCTTACTTTTTTTTCTTACTTAAATTTTCTGTATCTTTAAATGTTGTTATTGGTTGTCAAATGTATTAGAGAAAACAATATCTAAAGTATTTTAGTCTTATTGCAGAGTTTTCATCATATTTGTGTAGACGTGTATTAAGTCTTTTACAAATATTTGTTAATATTCATTATAATGACAGTTAGAGGAAATTGCTCTTTATTTATAATTGATTTAGCAGCTAATAACCGACATAATACAAATTAAAACATCTTGTAAGTTGCTACTTGAGCTAAAAATCTGACACACATTTTAACGCAAAGTACGATTGAAGTAATTTCAAAGATGAAATTCGCGACTCAACGAGTTTTCTTTAACTTTAAAATGCTATGTAATTAATTTTACATCAAGGAATATCTACGCATCATACGCAAGCGCAGATACATGTACGCAATGTGCACCTATTTTTATTGTATTGAAAACGGATGATTCATCATAACACAAACTTCCAATTTCATAAATATGAAAAATATTCAGTTATACAAAATCATTTCCCCAGCCACACGTGAAAGTATATTATATTTTTCTATTTAGGGTTTTGAGGGCATGAAAGCATATTTTGGCTCATATGATGGCCAGATAAGATTATTTCGACCCATCGAGAATGTGAAGAGGTTACAAAGAACAGCAGAAAGACTGTGTCTACCTGTAAGTATGAAATGTATCATGAAATGTAAAATATAAATTTCACCACTTTTGAATACATGCCATTGTTTGAGTTTAACTTAAAAATAACCGCCTAAAGTTGTCAATGGGGAGCTTTCGCAAAGGCTACGTGTACGAAGTACGTCATTTTGGCGCGAAAACATTGTTTTCACAAGAACTACTCGTAGCTGTCATCAATCTGAGTCGATGTTTTGTAAAAAAATTGAAGTCGCGACTACGATGTTTTTTAAAGCAATAATCCGTAAACACATATGATTTCAATAGAAACTAGTAAAGTAAAACATGCATATATGAATAATACCCAAACTATCATTATTCCGCCACTCTTAAATCCTGTATTAATAAAAATAAGTTGTAGTTGTTCAATTTTTAATTCAAAGTACCAACCACTCTATGGGCTGTAAGTTTTTGAGGAGAAAAATGCAACCAAGGCGCTTGCCTCTGATGTACTTGGAAATGTAACAGCTTCGTACCCAGGCGCGATGCCCACACACGCCGTATAACATGTTTAATTTCTAAAAATTGCGCTTTCAAATCAGTCACTCAAAGTATTAAAAAAGCGTCTAATTGTTGAAAGCACCAAAGCACTTTGGTACTATAGGCTGGAAATGTCCTATGTTGAAAAATGTGCTGCAGTTCTTTCTTTTGATGTACCCCATATTCGCCATTGTTTTCCTTAAACGACAACTAAACGTAAAAAATATAACAACAACATCATCACAGCCATCTTGTCTTCATTTACATAAACATTATATATTTTATTTCATAAACTGATAACTGCATTGAATCTACTTTCTCGAATATATACTACTTATGATATTTTAATATAAATGGTAGAAGTGGTGTTAATAGTCCACAAGCAGTAAACGGCTATATTGTCTGTCACATTCAGTGTTTATGATTCAAATTAAAACAGCAAGGCAGCAGTAGTTCAAAAACTGCGCTATTTTCAAATACTTAGTCGATTAAACATTAAACAATTTAGAAGACGTGCATTCGGGCTAAACGCTACCCTCTACCTAATTTTTTTCTGATATTTTTACACATCTCTTTGACATATGTCTTTCTTAGATGCTTCATATACCAACAATGGAAAATGGTCCAAAGATCGCCAGACGGTTTTACAAGGAACTTACTGATATTCAGGTGGATGCTGCATGAATAATGTATTCATTTACCCCATATTTCGATCCAATACTCCATACTAAGTTGTTCTTTATTTCTTTCAGTATGGAAAAGTTTCCAGTCCATGGGCATATGTTGTAAATGATTCATCTGATGAGAACGAAAATTTACAAGCTATGAGTATAAATTAGTTGTTGTTTCTGGTTCATAGAAACCTTTTTTGTCGTATGTCATATGGACACTAAGAAGCTAAATATAACCCATTTGTAGAAAACCTCAATAATAAATACTTGTTTGACAGAAAGAATTTATGCTCGTTACCTTTATTTGCTGAAATAAAATTTTCCTAAAATAATTATGGCTAGTTGTAGCAAAGTCGGCTCGTGTTTTATTTTCCTATACAATGCAACTATTGCTTTCTTCATGTACAAATATTTTTGTATATGAAACAGAGACTTTGTGTCGTGGTGTTAAACTTAAAGATGGATTTCAAAATAGCAAATACCATGGTGAATGGTGATAATAACAATGTAATAGTTCTTAAAAGAACTGTTTTAACCAGAACACTAACCCAACAATTTAAAGGAACCGTTATTTACAGCTACATAGAGACACTATGCATTTCGGCAGACTACTCATCAGGCGTCAACGTCTGCTAAATCCAATCGCTGAATCACATAGAAAACATCTTTTAAGCAACACTCGCTGTGCCAATGCTTATTCTGATGAAAACTTTAAAATTATTTAAAATGTCGCTCGTTATTCCAGCTACGCGTCATGGAGTCGGTATTAATTAAATTGACTAATCCTGTCCTTTGCCGACAAAAGGATTACGTGTTTAATCTGTCTCCGTTTTAAGTGTCATCTCTAAAAGTAGGAATGACATTGACTATTTGTAGCATTATGAATATAGCATGATTTGGAGGTTCTCATTTAGCAGACGTTGACACCTGACGAGTAGTCTGCCGAAATGCATAGTGTCTCTTTCTAACTGTAAATAACGGTTCCTTTGAATTGTTGGTATAGAACTATGTATTTGTTTTAAGTAAATTTTACCTCACTATTACTTCCCAAAGTTGATATAGGTCGCAGCTAAAATTATTCATAAAATTTTTTTACCTGTAACAGGTTTAACAAGCAATAGCCGAATATCTTTGTAGCAGACTAAAGTTTTCAATTAAAAAGCACCGTGCGCTAGACTTATACAAAATTAAATAAATTTGTGATAATTTCGGAGTTTCATTAGCTTTTGACGATATTTTCGCAATTAAGTTTTTTTTATGCTTTTAATAATCGATATCACTTGACTCCGCCAGTTCGTAAACAACTGGTTGTTATCAAAGTACTTAATTGCTTGTTTTAAACAAGCAATCTTACCTTAAGCTATGTCTCAGTGAATATTTTAAGTATAATTTCGAACGATTCATCACAAGTTCAGTTTAACAATCCTGCGTTAAATAAAGTTTTAAGAGCATATTTTTAGTTTTTAATGTAGAACCTATCATGCTAGAATAAACGATGTATTTAACGTAAGAAAATTATAATTTTAACTTAAGTTATTCTAAAAAGCACTTTAAGAAACAAACGTAATAAAGAAATAATGATTTTGAAGATGAATCAACGTTCAGCAAGATGATGTGTATAAAGAAATGCTTAAAATGTTGGTAACAATTTTTTGGTGGTTTGAATTTTTTGTCAGATCGAATGCTTCTATTTTTGTCTTTAAATGGCTCAAATAAAATGAACCTAAGTGCCTTTCTAGCTTAATTTATGTATTAAAAAGTGACATACGCAATAAGTTAGCTACTTAAAAGAAACAGATGTTGAATGAAGATATGATCTTAGCACTTTTGCCGGGATCAGCTTCATGAGACAATTGCTTAAATTGTCCAGCAAAAGCGCGAAGATCATATCTTCATTTAATTTCAACACCACACTGCATATAACATTCTTTCAGAAACAGATGTGTTGGATTTAGACATAATTTATTAAATTTACTATAACTTTGTTGTCTCATTACATATTGGCGTCATTTTAGTAATGAGAGTTATTTCACTTTAATATTTAATACAATTCGACGCCTTGTATACATAAACAACGTGTTGTTATGACAATTTATATTTACTAGTTTATGATGTCCATTGGATAAAAATGTTTTTTATTTTGCAACGTTAAATGCAAACGCAAAATTGTTTCCTCCCTTTGATTCATTTGTTAAAATCCACCTATCAGCGAAAACTTTTTCTGAAATATTACAACAAGGTGTAATGTTTAACGTATCCGTGAAGAAAACGTTTTAATTTGTTCAAATCATCTTTTTAATATGCCGGGTGTAAGTTGCCTTTCAATGGAATTGCTAGATTCCGATTCTAGCAGAATTATGATATCATCGAAGGTATTTGGTGCATATATCTTCTATTGACAAGTGCCATGCATGACGTCACAAAAGTAAGTCAATGAAGACTTTTCGAACGACAGGCAACATCCATTATAAAAAGGAGTTTGCCAACTTTGAACAGCGAAAATATGGAACAAATGAATCAACCTAAAAAGTTCCCTGATAGGTTAGAAATATTTTCTAAATTGAACATCACAAATAAATTTTTTGCCGTTTAATTCTCTGTCACATATTTGATCACTGTATAAACATTTTTCTTGATAAAGTGTTTCAACCCAAACCACCTGTTCTTAATGCACCCAAGCAAATAAAGTAATTTGGCCTTCCATTTACTGGCTTACACTCAACCCAAATCTGCACAAAATTCAATCCCCTTGTAGTGCTCCTTTCCCACACTGTGAAATACGATTCTTCTTTCGATCCACCAAACGCCTCTCCAACCTGTTTTCGTTTAAGAACAAGGTGCCCAAAACTCTGAATTCAAATGTTGTCTATTCTTTCAAGTGCCGATGCTGCTCCGCATCGTACGTGGGTCAAACCACCAGCCACCTACACACTCAAATTTCAGAGCATCTGGGCATCACCTGTTTTTAGTGATTCACTTAGCTAAGCTGTATTTTTGACTACAATGTTTATGTGAGGCAACATGTTTTTAAAAAACTGTATAAAGGTGCTTTTGACGATTTTTTGGTGTTTTGAATATTTTCGTCAAATCATGTGTTTCAATTTTTGCTTCGATTCTTCACACAAAGGTAAGGCACGTTATGTAGAAAATACTAGCTATAAATAAGGTTTGTTGTAAAATATTAAAAATTTGCATTTAGCTAGACCCAATTCTTTTTTTATCAAAATTATGTTTAAAATATATTTGTTCATTTCTAGATCGGAGACTGTGGAGCAATATATACAAAAAAATTAATGTGAAAAATGAGATAGAATGCATTGTTTCTTGCGTTAATGAACCATGTTGTCGATCTATAAACCACAGGAGAAAATTAAGTCAAGGACGTTGGAGTCTTTGTGAAATGCTACATAGTGTCCTCAACAAAAGCAATGAAAACGATTTAAAACATAATCGATTTTATGATTACATTTTTTTCAATTCCCCTGTCAAGGTAAAAATAAATTTTAAGTCAATAGAAGAATAATTGTGTTAGTAAAAATGTTCCTTCAGGAATACATAAGTATTATGTCAAAAAAATGCATATCTAGTTATGTAATATTTTAAAATATCTGTTATTTAAGCACAAAGTGCTTGTTCTCCATTACAAATATTAATTTTTGTTGTTTAGGAGTACAATAAAACATGCGAAGTCCAATCGTGTAAGTTTAGATGGTTTTTACATACACTGTGGTTTTTTATTTTGATGTAAATATAAGAAATTTTATTTTATCCTTAGCACTCAACAAAAGTTACGATTTGCTCTTCAAAAATGCACATGTTGAAAACGTGATTCTATTGGATAATGCAATGCCCAATATGTCTGCGATAACGTTGATGTTTTGGATAAAATTAACTCAAGTCAACGAATGGCGGTGTTTTCTTACGCTATAGAAGATAGTCCCGATGAATTTTTGTTTTCGTTGAAAGAAATTTCCTTGTTGTCATAATGCAGTCCCAGCATATTTTGTAAGAGGAAAATGTTATAATTTACTTTCTTTCTTAGTAACAACAACTCATTAGAATTGCACTTTTAAAATTGTATGAGTTGCGTTAGCTTTAAAATAGCTTATATCACGAAATATTTTTTATTTTCAGAAGACTTAAACACAATACATTAAACTATTTGCTGTTATTGCGAATAAACATACTCATTTATTTGCATCGCTCATTAATCAAAAGTTTGTTGAAGTGCATAAAAAAATGCCATTTTGAACACAACACACACACATTTTTAAAGCAAGACATTTGCGATAGGTTGATTTGCATTAGTTTCATAAGTGGCACAAAAGTCCGTTTGAGTTTTTTATTCAATCGATATGTGTATATAATAAATACATTATTTGATTTATGTACATTGTTTGTCACGCAAGCGATCTCGCGTGACTTCCACGTTTGTATGCTTTAAAAGGTTTTATATTTTAACAAGGCTGGCAACTCTCAACACAAAATTACCGACCGTTAACACAAACACTTTCACAAAGCTGCAAATATCAGATAAGTACATGGCAAAACACGTAAAACAAATACATATTATTAATAAGGAAAAGTTTTACAATATTTTTGCAGTTTTCTAACATTCAAATGTATTTCTAATCATACAAAAAATGTTTTAAGTGTTTTGGGCAAATATTTAGTAAAACTTTCGATATGCACAGTTTTTAAACTTAGCTATTCATGCTAAGTTGCATGCTTTTTCTTATTGAAATTTGGTCCAAAGTTTGTATAAAAGATGGGATTTAGTGACAACAGAACACACTAAAAATGTGAAGTGAAATTTTTCGTTCATTGAAAAAATTTAACAGTTTCTTTATTTGTATTCCATTAAAATATCGTTTAAGAATTCTCAAAAAACAACTTGTTTTAGATAAAGAAGTCTAGATGTATGCAGTTACGATATAAAGCTTTTTATTTAATAAAAATCACACTAGTTGACTTAAACTTACTTCTATTCGTTATATAATAGAAAACTCAACAATTCGGCAATCAACGACGGCATCTGGCATCACCTGGCCATCATAATTGGTCGCACTCGTAAAAAAATATTTCTTAATGGAAGTACTATTTATAGCGAACCTATGGTCAATCATTCATTACCTTTATTACGTGGTGGTGGTGTTGTTGCTATTGGTCAAAAACTTGAATGTGAGAATGGTGTTTTTAATCCAAATATGTCATTTGTTGGTGAAATAAGTTATTTAAACTTGTGGAATCATGACGTTGTTTGCGAGAAATCCAGTCCTATGGTGCTGATTAATGATGAATGCACCACTGGTCTAAATAAAAGTACTCTTGTAATCAATTGGAATCATGTGTACCAATTTACAAGCGAAAATATTGTTAAAGTCCCCTCATTACGTAAGTTAAGTAAGACGAATTGGCTTTTTTACTCCAGTAATTTTATAATCAAGATAACGTTTTTTAAACAATTCTAAGTAAAAAAAAATACCAGCGCATTTTACTAAAATTCATTTTCTTTCAAGTGGTTATAAAATGAAATTTTACCTAATTATTTTTTGCTATGAATTAAAATTTTATAATGCTTTGAGTATGATAAGGTTTTAACTTTTTTCATAACTCCTATGGATAAAAAAATATAGGTGGTTAAAGTTGCTGTTTTTAAAAAAATTGTTTCGTGACATGTCTGGGCCTTGGACAGTAGTTTGAAGTACCTCGTGACGGCAGTGGTTGTGTTGCCCATGTAAACAATGATAGTGCAATACAAAATTATACAAATCAAAATATTTTTAATAGAGAAAGTTCCTTTGAATTTTCGTGTGACAGTGTCAATTTTAAATAAAATTTTCTAACCCAAAGAATCGTTTTTACCCCTTAAATTTTTCACAATACACTATTCAAGGTTTACACTATGCAATTATATAAAATAAAAAACCATGAAATTTCGTTTTATAAACACTTTAAGCTAAAAATTGAAATTAAGACCACGTCGCAAATTTTGTCGAAAACTGCTTTCCATCGTTTGTTAGCAGTTTCTATTTTCCATAATTAAATGTCTCCAAATCGCAAGGTTGTTCGCTCCAAATAATATTTTAATTGTTCAATTTCTTTGCTTATTAGGACGTCAATTTGTTGCTTGCTACTATTGATAACTGATTGCACCATTTGTCGAGCGCTCATAATTATATAAAACTCAGCACATTTAATTCAATAAGCGTTTTAATAGAAAAAATATTGAAAACAAAAGTTATAGTTCATATATTATTCTTTCTTAACAATGTCCTTTCATATTCGATGTATAGTCATGCTCGTGCATCACCTCATCTAACATATTACGTATTCTTTTAGGTCATCCCAAATTTAATTGATCAATGTCTAACGCTTTATAGCACTTATTTTTTAGATTTTTCATCATGCAAAGAAGCAATGAAATATGGCAGGTATGGTGTGACATCAACGTAGCCAGTTACCTTAATCTATAAATAAAGAGTTAACTTGAAGTCTTTATTTTGTTAGAAAAGTTAAGTGTACCAAGCATAGAACAGTCAAAAATTAAGTCATAAAGTAGCGAATTTTTTTTGTCAGAGTTTAAAAAAATTTAAGCGTGAGTAAAAACTGATTGATTAAGGTTATCTCGTTTTTTAATAAAATTATTTTCTGTAATAAAAAAATGAAAATCAACAAAATCGTTTTCTGTTGACCTTATTCTACAGCTATTTTCTCATCGAAGAAAAAACAAAAGGTGGCTGTATATAGTTTATAAAAATTCAGTTTCACATAGACCATCAGATTAAAGCTTTATGGCTAATGAAACTTATTATGCATCAAAAACACGCGACTACGCCTCATTTGAAAAATAGAGATTTTTACGAAATTTGTTTGTTTTGTTTTTGTTTACTGCTTCAATTATGCAAGTATATTACTGCTTTTATTCATTTTTCAATTTCACTAATCTTTGCTTTCATGGACCTTGGACGAATTTTCTATTTGGCTAAAAAATCCCAAATGGTTTCTGTAGTGCGCTCCTTGCTCTTTGAAGCGTTTAGCTATAAATTCTTTGTTGCCTTTGTGAACCAAATTCCGGGAGAGGTTTCATAAGTCATGACTTAACGGAAATATAACATATCCTACGAAAACGTAAGTGAAGTGATTGTATCATTATTACCTCCTGCTGCACCAATATCTACCAATCTAATAAATTTTCGCAAAAGTTTCACTAACTTATTGTATGGGCTTGGAATAGTCATGTTAGATAAATTTCAGAAAAATTAACAAAAAGTCTCGAAAATTTATATTTTCTATTATTATTTCACAGTTTATAAACCGAGAATAAAAAAATTTATCAAGCATTTGTAACTAGCTGTAGACTAATGACTTGACTGACAGTAATTATTGGCTTCCATTTTTTCATTAAAGCGAATAAATTAGTTAGCTAAAAACCTGATAAAACATTTTAATAGACTTTATCTGTTTCCATTTTGTGTTATTTTGAATAAAAATACACTTTCTTAAAGCTGTTGCCATTTTTTTAAAAGAAAAAAATGCTTGTGTTAAAGAAGATTGAAAATCCTCTCTTTTTAATTCTTTTTTATAAAATACATTATAAAAAACGTACAGTTTATGATATTATTTTATTAATGCATTACATTAAAATACTTTCCACATTTTCCTAAATAGAAATTAACTCTCCATCACTATATTTAATTGAGTTTATTTTTCATTATTTAACAAAATTGTTTGGAAAAACTTAATATTCACTAAGGCTTTTTATGTTTAACTATTATATCAATAAATTATAGCAATAAAATCCGCATTCTAATTGGTTTTGTGTTTTATTCAAATATGTGAAAAAGTTCAAAAGATGGTGTGTACTTGATAAAGTCGGATACTTTACTTGGCTACAGCAAAGTTTTCTGTATGAAAAACATATTGGGTTGTTCTGGAGAAGGCTGGACGCTGGTGATGAAAATTGATGGGAAAAAGGTACAACAAAAATAAATTAAATTTTGTCTTTAAAAATATATACTAATGTATAACACTTCAAGACATAAACTTTATCATATGTGCAGGCATAGCAAAAGGATAAAAATCTATCCATGTTGTACTCATGAGCGTTATTTCTGATGGAAATCGCATTTTTTATGTTTAGATCACAATAAAATTATAAGATTTTGCTGGTGATGATTTTTGAGATGGTAATTACGATTGATGATGCTATATCAGTTGAAGAGAAACGTTTCTGCAGTAACTTACGACCTGAATACTGCTTAAGAAACAATAGCTCATTGCTATTTAGTAGAGTCCAAATATGTAGCCATAATCAACGAAATTTTCATGGAAATATTAAGGCACTACCTTTTTGTGGGACAGCCTTTTAAAAGTTTATAAAGCTAAAAATTACCGTTAAAAAAAATTGTTGGAGTAATGTAACGGAAGCTAATGAATTATGAGTCGAATAATGCGAAAGGAGCACTTGCAATTATATCAGGCAGACTCACTTCATTCAGGTTATTCTATGTCCACATGTTTTCCGTCTAGGACACCAATAAAAATTAAGAGACTTTATTCAAGTTTTTACTTACGTGGGAGATTTTAAATAAGTGTTGTATAGAGGTAGTACATGATCAGCGTTCGACAAAATAAAGCATTCCTCTTAATTTCAAAACATATATAGAACAAAACTATTGGTCACTAGTTTTCAAAGAATGAAAATTTACTGCTACAAATGCTTTTGAAATATTCTAAAATGTCTAGATGTCCAAGAAGTCGGTGCAGTGATTGATTTTGACGTACAGTAGATCTGCAACTGAACTAGGACAATCCAAATTGGTTGTTTTGTTTGTAATACCACGTAAAGCGCTGTCAGTTCAAATCATTATACAATTAATTTAAAAACTGTTTTTTTAACGAGTGTAGGAGATTTAAAGCAACATTTGTTCATGAAAGAAAGTGAGTTCAAAGTCAAGCAATATCTTGTCCTAAATTTATGTTTCTTTTTTGTGCTTATATACAACTGGCCGAAATTAAGTATTAGAAAAAGGGAGGTTTGAGTGAAAGAGTTTTAGTTTGGAAAGAAATTTGCGCCTTCACTCTATTATGATTTTCGACTGTGTTTATATTTAAACACGTAAAAAAATGTTTTTTGCTGTTTTAAAAAAAAATAAATGCTGTTAGCTTCAAAATAAATGTTAAGAATATTTAAATACTATGTGGATAGTTTATAACATGGTTTAATTTTCAAAAATTATGTTTAGGAAACATTTGACTTTGAGTCATCGTTTTGGAGAAATAAAAAGAGTTACAAGATTGAAAATGGTAAATCAGGAGTGGATGATTTGGAAACAAAACTTCCTACATACTGGAGCACAAAAATAAACAAGATATGTGTTGGAATGAAATTCAAAGGTGAAACAAATTTTATCAGCTTCAATTTTCAGGCTAAATCGTTGTACGATATAGTTGCTGATGGAAAATACCGCCAAACCAATGTGAGCCGAGACAAATGGATGTCATTGATCAAAGAGAGTGTTCTTCAACGAAACTGCAATAAAGAAGGTTTCAACGCAAAGGATGAAGAGAAGTTGTTTCGTCGTTTAAGGATTGGAATTATAGGAAATAATGAAAACAATTGTAGGAAAAGCAACTCTTTCATTGGTTTTGGCTGTACGTACAAGAAATGGAAGCAAAACGCTCAAATAAATAGCTGTGGAAACGGTAGATCCTTTCAAGGATTGAAAAACAAACAATCAATGGGATACATTTTTGTTTCCTAAATATAGTAATACTTATGTAGACCACATTTTTTTGTTTGTGCAATCAGCTTTAGCAGTACAAATAGTAAACTTACTTTCTTTATTGTTATTAGCTATACCGACAATTCATCAACTTTTCTTTAGAGTAATTTATATAAGACTTTTACAAACTAAATTAGCAAGTCCATTTTGAAAGGCTAGCATTTGATTTGTCTATTGTAAGTGCGAAATAATTGTATTCTTTAAGATTTCCAATTTTGAAACAGCACCAAAAACGTATGTTAATAAATGGCACATGTAAAAATAACACAAAATATGCTTGTTGCTTAAATCGATAGTATACATGCATGTTTTTGTAATGTAAGAACTCGCAGCAGACATATCAGAGAAAAACTGTTTTAAAACATTTTTTCCAATTTGATACAATTTTGTTTATCATTTTCATTACAAACAAAGCAGACAAGAATATTTTCTCTAAAATCAACAATTAACACGCTTCAATTTCTTACGCATGTAAATATCTGATCAATTGCAGAAAATTAAAATGAAAAATTCAGCAGCTTAGAGCTTATAATTATAGCTATTTAGAAAAGATTTATTGCAATAAAAAATCTATATAAAAGAAATTATCAGCATACGGCTATTTGACGATTGGCACAGCCCGGCTACAAGTTTAGCATACAATTTGTTTAACATACGTATGTTTCATTTTATCATTTATTCCATGGACTCATTCAGGAATAAAATGTAAAGAATTTGATTTGTTAACGATGTATTTTGCACGCATTAAAATTAGACTTAAAGTGATGTATTTTTTAAAAACTATGCAAAATTTGAGTCGTATTTACATAGATACGGTTGTATTAATTAAGACAGCGTATTTAAGAGAAGCAGAAACTTAGTTACATAACTACTAAAATAATTTTCGCTCATGTGTATGGTTTCGTGTTTCACTTTTAAAAGCTATTAAATTATTAATTCCCCTATTTACATATTTTGCTTGTTCGAAACACGCTATCTTATTTTTAGGCAATGTCACATGCATAGTCATATTGTGCGGTGTTTCTGGAATCACATGAATCATAATTCATGTGAAATGTTCCCGGTTTTAAATATTTTTTAATAGCATAATTTTTTTTTGAGTACAACAGATCACAAGGAAATTATTTTGGCATGACCATTTATTAATGGGTAAAGAACATTTAAAATAAGAAAATCATCATTTCATTACAGAAAAGTAATTAAAAAAACAAACGTTATGAAAGCTAATATGTTTATAGTGATTCACTTATAGCTAAGCTGCTTTTTTTGACAACGATGTTTATGCGAGGCAAACTATTTTTAAAAATATCTAAAAAGTTACAAATAGCAATGTTTTTGTGTTTTGAATATTTTCATCAAATCAGATGTTTCATAATTTGCTATGATTCTACACACAATGTTAAGGCCCGTTGTGTAGAAAGTACTATAAATAGTTTTGGTAGTAAAACATTTAAAATATACATACATACATCCAGAGTCTTTGTTTTTATCAAAATTATCTTTGACATATAGCGTGTTTATTTCTAGATCGGAGACTGCTGAGCATATATAAAATATTAATGTGAAAATGAGTTAGAATGCCTTGTTTCTTGCCTTAAGGAACCATGTTGTCAATCTATAAACCACAGGAGAAGGTTGAGTCAGAGACGTTGGAATCTGTGTGAAATAGTTATAGTGTCCTAAACTATAGCAATGACAAAGATTTAAAACATAATCGATTTTACGATTGTATTTTTTCATATCCCCTTTAAGGTAGAATTAACCTTCATAAAGAATTGCGTTGATAAAATGTTTCATTGTAGTTATACCAACTACCTAGTTTTATCTTTAGTTGTTAAATATTACACGACGTTTTTTTTTATTTAAACACAAATTCCTTACTCTTCATTTGAAATGATAATTTTTTTGTTTACAAGTATAATGAAACATATAAAATCCAATGGTGTAAGTTAGATGCATTTTACATTCACATTTTTTTTTATATTTATATAAACATAAGAAACTTGAACTCGTTCTTAGCTTTTGACAAAAGTAATTGTTTGCTCTTTTCCAACGCACATGTTGAGAATGTGATTCAAAAAACTTTGACTCTGAAGATGACTACCGCTAAGGTTGTCGAAACGTCAGTCAACAACAACAAAAACAGCTCTTCTCAGGACTATACTAACCTGGACAATCTACATCTACAAACATGCTATTTAATAACGTGAAAATATTAACGCAATAATTGGCGTCAGTACTGTTTTAATTGTGATGGAGGGGGGGCATATTCTTATATTCTGCTATGCTTGGTTAATTTCTTTATAAAAACAATGTGATTGTCAAAAAAAATAATTTTGACATAACTGAATATATCACTATGGTCCCCCGCAGTTATCGCAGGATTGACGCCCATTTTCGCAATTGTTTTAATTCGGAAGAACGTTTTGTAAATGATGTACAAAAGTTAAGTCAAACATCATCTTTCTACAACCTTAAACCAACGTTTTATTAAGGTTGTGCTTTTAAATGAGCCGCCATTAGACAGTTCAAAACACTATGCTTTTGAAAAACTGATATGAATGATCCTAATGAAGCGTTTGTTGACATTTCACTACAGCGCGGACATGTAAAAATTTGTCTTTGTGGTACATATTTTAGAGACAAATCTGTTTGAACTCGTTATCCAGCCAAGTCAAAAGCTATTATCTAAAGAAATAAATTTTGTCCATTTTTGAATTTTCTTGCTGGTCCGTATTTCCAATCATTTCAACTAATTTCTCATATTAAGAATAAGCCGTATTATGTCTATTTCAAGAAAAAAAATCAATGAAAATCATCCACGCACAGCTTTTTGAATAATATTGTTTTGACAACAAGGAAACCCCCGATAGATCCTACGTTATTGATTTGTTTGTTTAGGCTTCAGGTAAAAAATGATGGCAGTTTTTATTTACATAAGCATATGTACATGCACATATAGTATTTTAATATTCAAATAGAATATTGCCAAAGATAGTCTTTAAGAATTTCCTTAGAGAAAAATGTCCTGTTATTGGCACATTACAAAAAGTTGTTATTAAAGAGTGAGTTGCTTAAAGATTTATAGAAAGCTTAATAAACGTTTTTGTTTTAAAAAAATATATTTGATCAGTAAATACGCTAATTTGACAAACTTTGAAGTGCAATTTGTGAATGACAAAGATCGAATGAATATAATTATGTTCTTTACCGGCTGCGAGCTCAACACAGAAAAAATATTTTTACGACGTCTCAATGCTTATTTCATCATCCTTTTTAGGATAGTGAAATATTCAAGTGTTCCCCATGGAGGTCTTCTACAATGAAAGAATCATTTGTGATAAAAATGTCATCAGGCCAATCAAAATGGTCCCGATGCATTTTTTTTGACAAAAAAACTTTCACGGTGTTTATGCAACCGATACTCGTCTTGTTTGCACAAGTAGAACTTCTTAAATATTCAAAGTTAAACTATAGATTTGTTTGCTAAAAAGTGCCAAGGAAAATGACCTTATACAAATTTATTAGAATTTGTACTTGGTAACCTTGGTAACCTTTGTGTAGTCGATTAACAATTTAGAAATAAAGCAAAAATATCAAAATAGTAATTCAAAATATTGAAAAAGGACGGGAGGTTATAAAAGTGTGCATATGCAACTAGCTGCAGGAGTTAAGTGAGATACAAACAAGTTGAAGTTTTCAAGGAGTGTGGTCTATTATCAATTTTATATCGTACTTGGCTAATTATAAGTCGCAAATTACTTGTAAGAAAGGGAAAAGTAGGGTAGTAATTACTAATCAAATTCTTGTTGGTTGTAATGAAGCCTACCTATGTTTAAGAGTTATTGTAATTTATCATTACTATATCTGCATTAAACTTAGAGAGAAGTTTGGATTGCCTGTTGACAAATGTGATTTGTCTTGATTTAATAAAGCAGTACATTATCTATACATTCAAAGGTTTTTTTGATAAATAAGTGTATATAATTTTAGTCAATTTTTATGGTCTTATAGATGCATTCGATGTTGCTAATTACTTTGAAAGAAAGTTGTCCTAGAAACACAGAAATACACGTAAACCGTATTAATGTCAATTGCAGAATGCATGGGGTTTATCATAGGTTATTTCGTTTCATTCACAATATACTCCTGAGTAGCTATGACATTACTTTAACGCTAGATTTCCTCAAACACGTTTCTTTTATTCTTTAGGCGAGATTACACCGTAACTGTTGAATGTATTAACCATTTGTGAATGTTTATAACCTGTATTACAAAGGTTTACTTGCCAGCTGCATAAACTGCTCTTGTGTAGCGGCAGAAACCTAAATATTTGCAATAGATGACGTCAATAGGAAAATGATTTCCTTTCTAGACAGTTTTCATAATGCAAATTATATTGCAATATTGTATAAGTAGAAAACCCCATCAGACGGAGTAATAATGTGAAACTCTTCACTCAAGTCTCTAGTGATTTTAGTGGGGACCATATTTAATTGACAAATCATGAGTCAGGCTTCCGCGTTCTAATTTATGATGTACTCAAACAGTGTCCTCGCTAAATAATTAAAACCACAGGATTATATCAAAACAATCCCATGTTTGTAAATGTAGATTGTCCAGGTTGGTATAGTCCTAAGAAGGACTATTTTTGTTGTTTTTGACTGACGTTTCGAGCACCTTACCGGTAGTCATCTTCAGAGTCAAACGAGGAGTAAACGTCATGTTAGCCGTATTTTTAATCTGGTTCTTACGTTATTGTCTTGTTTGTACAGGAAATGTGTGGGGTGAATTGTGTATTGTCTTTGTAAAATTAGTGTGAAGTGTAGTGTTTTCAGTTGATCGTTTGTTTGTATTGTGAATAAGTCGTTTGTAAGGTGCCGGTAATTGCTGTGATCTTTTCAGGGAGGTTTTTTCCAATTGGGTATACCAACTTTCTAATGTAAGCCGTTGTCTATAGTCAGTATTGTAAATAATGCGTTTTGCTAAGTCCCAGTCAATGTTGTGCTTTGTAATTCGGTGAGGTTTGGCAATGTGATTAGTTTTGTCTTGTTTCTTAGGAGCTCATTTGTGTTCAGTAAGTGTTATGTTTAAGTTCCGGCAAGTTTCCCCGATATTGAAGTTTATTTTGTAAACTGCACCTTATCGTTTGTTGGGTTGTTCTTTGTCCATTATGTTCGTTAGTACTTGTCGTAACGTTGTGATTGGTTTATGTGTGACACGTATGTTGTATGGTTGTAAGATATGCGAGATAGTCTCAGACGTGTCTTTG